AAAGCTTCAGGATTACTTTGTATCAACTTCTGTACTACCCATTGGAACAACAATTCTTTGCAACCACTGAAGCGTGTCTTAGACAATTGTCTCCACAGTATCTTACAAAACATGATAGTGGAACAATCAGCAACATTATTAATGAGTATAAATTAATGGAAGAATATTAATATATTTTATTTTCTTTGAATAGATATTAACATATTATATCTAAAATTTTAAAGAAGTAAAAACCAGCACCAAAAAACTTACATCAATTATATCTAAAATTCCATGAAGTCCAGTTAAGCTTCCACCAACTATCTCCAGAGTGTAATCAATTCTAGGTTTGGCTGATAAAGTTTAGAAAAAGAATCAGCCACTTCCACAAAAACTATAAGCTGAGTGAAAAAAAAAATTGAGGGAGCAAGAAAAAAGGAAACCCACAAAACATGCATAGGAATCATCTATATACTTACTGCTTTAAATAATCACTTCTCTTTCAGAAATTTATGAAATTGTTCTCCGGATTCTAGACAATCTTAAAACAAAGCAAGCTGCATGCATCGTCTATTGTGCAATTAAATGTTTTTATGGAACATCCTAGAAATTACTGCACAAATACAAGACATCTCCTCAGTAGGTTGGAAAATGACTCGAACAACGAAGAAAACTTGAAAATTTTTCAACTGCATCATAAAGCATAACACTAATAATAGTAAGCCAAAAAAAGATCATCTCATAAAATTTCCAAACTATGAAGATAAAAAAAATAACATGGTATGTAACAATGTTCAAAATAATAGAATATCATGTGTATGACAAGTTTGAAAGGTTGTTAATGCCCTAACCTGAATTGGTATTGCAGCAACAGGTGTATCAAAATTTATGACTATATTTGGATCCCAACCCACCGAAGATCAATATCCATCTTGACATGAGCTTTCTTAAGACTCTAAACACTAATGCATGCATTTTCGTTAGTAACCATGCTAGTAGAAATGCTGAAAAGATGGGCATATATAGATATTTGGTATACATTTACATAACATGTATAAACCAATCCTTAGGGTTTAAGAACACAAAACACACCACTAGCTGAAAGAAGGTCATAACAATTGTAAATGGATCACTTTGCTAAATGACAAAGGTACACCACTAAAACAAATTGTTGATTTATACCTTCAATTTTTGGAGCCACTGTTCCAAGAGACAATTTTCCCAACTTGAGTAGATTAACTCTCCCAGGTCGGTAATCTTCTGAGATTGGTTTAAAACATTCTTTGAGCGCAGCTGATGCGGCCTGAAAATAAACAAGTTAAAAAATATTTGGTTCAAAACTCATATTGGAAGCATTATCAAAGGTTTTTAACTCTCCCATTCGTCTTCCCAGAAAAGAAAATGACAATAAATAGGAAAGCCCAATTCCAGCTCTATTGTTGCAGATTTAATTAAATTATTAAGAGATAACACTAAACAAAAAACTATTTTTCGAGGAACGTGACATGACATGTTTTTTTTTCTGTATGCCACATTCTGAGACTTTTAATATTTAGGGTAAAATATAGTAATGGTCACTGAATTTTTTTAAAGTTTGCATTTAAGTCCCCCAACTTTTGAAACTTATAATACAGTCCTCTAACATTTAGTCTGTTTGTAATATGGTCCCCGATGTAACCGACCGTTTGATGCCGTTACACTGCCGTTAGTACGTTTGCAATATGGTCACTAAACGTTTTAGGCAGTTGCATTTAGGTCCCCAACTTTTAAAACTTGCAACATAGTTCTCAATTTCATTCTAAACCCTAAATTCTTTTTCGATCTCGAATTTTCTTTTTCGCTTCTCTCTTCTCATTTCCAGCGTAACTTTTCAGTCGGGGATGCATGAGAAATTCTAATCTAACTTTGAATTATGTGGAGGTGTTGACTTGAATAAGGGTCCATTGAGAGAAGACCCGACCAATAGGTTATCGGGACCATCAACGATTCAAGGTGTAATGTTAGATACATGTCCTCTCAGGTGAAGCATAGATGTTCGATGAAATGCTTGTGAGAAAAAAATAGGGTTAGAAATGTAGAGCTGACAAATACTACTAAGATGAACTAAGTATCATTGTTGAAAGTCACCAACAAAACTAGAATTATTTTGATAAATGACATATAATAATTTCTTTGTTTAATCCTTGCGGTTAAAGATTTTCCAACAGATGATCAAATATAATGAAATCCCAAACAACGTCTTCACCTCTCAGTCTCTTTCGCTCACATGCACTCTCGTTTCGTTTTTGTTCTTCAGTTTTCTGCCATGTAAAATTGTAAACCCAAGCAGTGCTATGTCTTTCAGCTTTTTATTTACAAAGAAAAAATGGAGGAAGAATTGCTGAAACGTAACACCGATTGCGTTTGTTTCTTAGTCTCTCCCCTCACTTGCAAGAAGGTATTTATTTTCTCTTTTTGGGCTATCCGGAAGTAAGCTTTTCCTCTTTCACATTTTCCCATTTTCAGCTCGCGTTGTGTGTTTTTTTGTTGAAATTTTTATGTTTTTGGAACTGCATATCAAGGATTTGGATATTCAGTGTTAGTTTTGAACCAAAACCATCTAATTTTCTCTCTTTCTTCTTAATCAAAACTTTTAGCACTCCTTATTAAAGAAATTCAATCCATCAGAATATAAGTGAAAAAGGGTCCTATGCTATTTTTTTATCTTCTTGTTTGGTTTTTCTTTAAATAAGGGAATTGGTTGTAAGTATCGACATAGTGAAATCGACAGGCTAAATCCGAGAGACTGTTGGTACTAGTTTACTGGGAATTGTATTGATCCGACCTATGGTTTTCGGCATCCCGTGAGATCGTATTCTTTTTAATAAGTTCATGTTGATTATGAGACTGATATATCGTGAACGAATTGGATTTTTTTTACATGTTTTGGAAAATTTACAGTTGAATCTGTATTGAATTACATCTTTGAAAGACAATTCTATATGCAAGCAACTCGAAAGGCATCATGACAGGGTAGTATATTTGGAGCAACTACTTGATATGTTGCCCGATCATTTTACATTCGCACCTTCATTTATGGCATATATATGTTTGTTGCAGTGCCCTCTATGTTTTACAATGTCTTTTATTGCTGACATCCCATGAATTTACAAGAATTATGGGGTCCTATTATTTTAGTTCTGCTATCTGCTTTAGATTCTCATCATGTTTGGCTATTGAGGAACATTAAACATGGAGCATTAGAAGTAATTATATGTTAAAAGGGTAGTCCATTAATGCATTTGCAACTGGTAATGTTGTATTTGGAATCTAATGTCTATCTTAAACAACCCATTTGACGCCTTAGCTTTTGGAGTGACAATAATCGAACCTCTTTCCCTTTATTTATTAAGTCTTATTTTTGAATGAGTTATTAATTGATATTATTGGTTTATTTTAGTTATTGCTTGGTTGTATGTTGTAGTCCTATAAACTAAAACTCTTTACTATTTTCGTAGTCGTTGGATGTGCATGCTCAAGTTCCATCCAAACCTATTGGAATGTCATACCAAAGTGTGGCAGCTACGCAACACTTCAAAATTTATTGATAGGTGCACTTTTCATGTTCAAAGTGCGACAGCTGTTGGATGTGCATGCAACAAACCTTAAATTTATATTGAAGTAAAAACTGTCAAATAGCCAATTCATGTTCAAAATTCCAAAACACTTCAATTACATTCTAAACCCTAAATTCCAAAATACTTCAATTACATTCTAAACCATAAATTAAAGTATTTTATGATTTGGGGTTTAAAATATAATTGAAGTGTTTTGGAATTTAAGGTTTAGAATGAAATTAAGGACTATGTTGTAAGTTTTAAAAGTTGGGAGACCTAAATGCAAGCGCCTATAAAGTTTAGTGATCATATTTCAAACAGACTAAATGTTGGAGGACTGCCACATCATCTTCTTCTAACGGCAGTGTAATGACGTCAAACGGCCGGTTACATCGGGGACCATAATGTAAACAGACTAAATGTTGGAGGACTGTATTGCAAGTTTTAAAAGTTTGGGACCTAAATGCAAGATTTAGAAAAGTTCAATGACCATTACTATATTTTACCCTAATATTTATTGGTTTTAAAATTAGTAACATTTAAAAGTATAATTTTTTTGGGTACATTAAAGGAAAAACAGAATACGAAACGATTGCACTTAGCTATCTACCATCTCAGTATTGCTTCACCATCTCTATCTGCCTGCAACAGAAGTAAGAGCTCCTTTGGCGGTTCTGTCTAGATGTGTGTCCCTCATTCTCTTTCAAACGCCAAATTGGCCAGCCAATCAGCATATCTGTTTTTTTCCTCAAGGTATGTAGAATTTCCGATATCCAGCCTTCTTTTATCATTTCTTCACAATCTTTAAACGTTACCACATTCTAAATGTCATCGTTTTGTTCCTTGTTTATCGTATCCATTACCCATTTCGTATCGGCTTTGATGATTAAATTCCTCGTTGCCAACAATTTCGCGATTCGCAAACTTATCTTATACCCCAAATTTCCGCAGTGGTTGATTTACCAATGTTTATCAGAAACCGTTGAATCCATTCTCCATACTCGTTTCTTATTAATCCACTCACCGTGGCGTTTGTGGTGTTCGTTTTGCATGCCCCGTCAGAGTTTATAATCCAACAATCTTCAGGTGATCTTCTCCATTTAACCTATCTTGGTTCTCTTGTAATTTTGATTTTTGAATTTATGAAAGTTGCTTGTATATTTCTTACTAAATTCATGTTGTATTGGATCACTTGATTTGTGTTTCTGTTGTTATTCTGAAAAATTGTTTCATTTTTTTCTTCCAAATATCCTATAAGGTTGTTGAGAATAGCGTTCCCCGGCTAATTCCTTCTTCTCTGGTCTTCTTAGAACGACAATTTGTAGTTAACCAACTAATGAAGTTCTTGCTATTAAACTGGTCATCGGGTTGAGTCGCATTGATCCCGTCCCATACAAATTTTGTCGTTGTGCAGTACCTTAGGGCATGCGCAAGGGTTTCCATAATTCCCTGACAGTTCCTGCGTTCCCCTTCTTGGATCATCTTCTTCTTGAGTTTGACTTCGTTAGTATTTCATTTGTTGAGGTAGCTTAGCCAGATAAACATTCTAATTTGTTCTGTGGTTTATAGCTTCCAAATCCAAGCGGATTTATTCGTGAAGCTGTCATCCTTCGATAAGCCCTAGATTATCATGTCTTGTGTCTGAGAATTTGTTGCCCAAGGAATTGAAATGCTCCTAATTTGATTATCTGTTTCGTTGACACAATGTTCTAAAGCTCTTGTATGTCCCATTGTCTTTCCTCTGATATGAATTTATCCACTCTCTCGTTGACATAGGAATCTCTTTTCGGATAATCCTTTTACTAGTATTGTTTTTCCCACCCACCAATCATGCTAGACTCTAGTTTAGCCTCCGGTAAAAATTTGATGTTTGCACCCGTTTTAACAATATCACAAGTGCTCAAAATTCCCTTCCAAGTGGACAAGTTTTTGGATCCATTTCCCACATTCATAAAGTTTGTATTTTTGAGATATTTCTCTTTGAAGATTTCAGTACCAAAGTGTGTCTTGTTCTCGAATAATTTTTCCAACCGTTCTTCGTCATAAGAGCCATATTCACTAAACTTGCTTTACATAATCCGACCCCCCCCTCCCGCAATTTTGGTTTTACAAACCACGTCCTAGCTGACCAAATGATTATGAGTATAGTTTGTACCTCCTCCCCAAAGAAAATTACGGTTTAGGTTATCTAATATATTGGTCGTCGCGACTGGGAATAAGGCAGTCTGCATCGTGTGTACAAGAATCTCATATAAAACTGATTGGATCAAAGTTCGACGGCCTGTTAAGGAGTGGACCTTCTCCTTCTAGCTCGCTAATTCCTTCTAGCCAGTGTACTAAAAGGTCTGCTGCATCCCATTCCTTCCCCTGAACACTACGAGGGGCTCACTAAGGAAGTCTCCATTGAAGAAATTAAAGAGGCAATTTTTAATCAAGGTATTGGCAAAGCTCCAAGTCCAGACGGTTATACTCCTCTTTTCTTTAAGAAATCCTGGACTGTGATTGGAAGAGATGTGACTGAAGCTATAAATTATTTCTTTCAAGAAACTTTCATCTATCCTGCATTCAATGCTACTACTATAGTTTTAGTACCCAAAATCCCCAACCCTTGCAAAGTCTCGGATTTCCGCCCCATACCTTGTTGTTCTGTTATCTACAAGTCCATTACTAAAATCATTGTCAAGAGGATCTCTCATTTACTGCATATGATTATTTCCCTAATCAAACCGCTTTTGTCAAAGGGAGGAGTATTGTTGATAACACCCTCCTTGCTCAAGAAATTGTGAAAGGTTATGGGAGGAAGAATATTTCTCCTAGGTGTGCTCTTAAAATTGACCTTCAAAAAGCTTTTGACTCCATTCACTGGGGCTTCATTCCTATCATTCTCAAGGCTTTAGAGCTTCCATGGAAACTCATTGACTGGATTTTTGTCTGCTACTCTAATGCCTCCTACTCCATTGCCTTTAATGGAAGCTTGGTTAGTTGTTTCAAAGGAGCCAAGGGTCTTAGACAAGGTGACCCTTGATCCCCTTTATTGTTTGTTCTTGTCATGAATGTTTTATCCAAACTCCTAAATAATTCTGCTGACAAAGGAATATTTAGCTTCCATCCAAAGTGCAAGAAAATAGGCCTGACTCACCTTACATTTGCTGATGATCTGTTAATATTCTGCAAAGGTAACCTTGAATCTGTCATGGGAGTTGTTTCTGTTCTTGATTATTTCTATGAGCTATCTGGCTTAAACTTAATGCTCTCAAGTGTGAGATCTTCACAGCTGGCATCTCTGTTCTCTCTACTGAAAATATCATTAACTTTTCTGGTTTCCAACATGGACTTCTGCCTGTCAGATACTTGGGAATCCCCTTGGTCACCAGAGAACTCTCTATAAAAGACTGTCAGCCTCTCATTGATAAGATTCAATCCAAACTTCACAAATGGTCTAGGATGAAATTGAGTTATGCGGGCAGGCTTGTTAAAACCGTCCTCTTCAGCGTTGCCAATTACTGGTGCAGGCAGCTTCTACTGCCTCAATTCATCATCAACAAGATTGAGCAAGTCTGTTCTAGATATTTCTGGAAAGGGTCGGATATTCCAACTACAGGAGCTCGTGTTAGCTGGGACACAATATGCACTCCTAAGTCTGAAGGAGGTTTAGGTCTTAAAGACATTAAAACCTGGAATAAAGTGTGCATGATCCACCTTATAAAAATTATTCTTGCCGAGGATGGCTCATTATGGGTCGCATGGATACATTGTTACTTAATCAAGCATTCTAACTTCTGGTTCATGGACGAACCTTCATCTTGTAGCTGGAGTTTCAGGAAAATTATGAAGCTTTGAAGTGTCGCTCATCCTCTTCTTACTTCAGGAGTCACTAGCACTAAAGATATTTGGGAGCAGGTTCGTTTACAAAGCAACAAAGTTCACTGGCAGAAACTCATCTGGTTTCCCCTTCACATACCGAAGCACAACATTATTTCTTGGATGGTAGTTCTGGATCGTCTTCCCACCAAAGAAAGGCTGCAAAGGTTCGGTTTAGTTACTAACGATCACAGCATATTCTGCTGAAGGTAGCGAAATTAAAATCCATCTTTTTGCAGAATGCAAATTGTCTTCTTCAATCTGGAATTCCATTCTACTTCTTTTAGGCATCAGAAAACCTTCTTTCACTTGGTCGAATTTAATGGTTTGGGCAACAGCGAAATGGAAAGGTAAATTTCTTATTACTGTCATTCTCGAACTTTCTTGGTGTGCATTCAACTACACCATTTGGGAGGAAAGGAATCGAAGGATTTTCAGAGGCATTAGCAGATCAGAGGACGATATTATTCTCTCAATTAAGCAGACTATAGGTTTTCATTTAAGCAATAAAAATATCAATAGATTAGATTGCACTAATTTAGATATTTGTAATCATTGGGGTATAGTTTGATTTTTGTTGTACATAGGTTCCCCTTGTTTTATTCCTTTGACTGGACTGATTTTTTGTAGCAGCTACCTGCTTCCTTTTGGATAATAAAAACTTGCTTATCCAAAAAAAATAAAAATTGGGGCATAGATGTCAGTATCTTCTCTATTATGGATGATTGGAACCCCTAAGTAAACTTCAAATTATTTGTTCGAGGAATGCTACTTAGTTGACTTCAATAGTTGGCTGTCTCACTATTTAAGTTAGGGGATATGAAGATATTGAATTTTTGTAGATTGACTTCAAGTCCGAAAGCTTGACTGAAATTCCTTAGGCATTATTTGACTCGTATAATATGCTCTTCTTTTGATTTACAGAATAATAAAAGATCGTATGCAAAGAATAATCGACTACTGTTAGTACTTCATCTCGATAAGTTTAAAGTCCTCCTCTATCCATTTTCCAGCTTTTCTAAAATCATGTTGGATAGTCTTTCTATAACTAGAATAAAAAGGAAAGGTGATAAACAATCTCCCTGTCGCAAGCCTTGTTAGGGGGTAAAACTTTCTATTTTTCCCCATTCCAGAGGGGTTTAATTGTGTTGTTCCTAATGTAGTACATGATGATATCAATGGTATCCTCAGGAAAAGTTGAATTCTTTTAACGTATTTTGTAGAAAACTCCAATTTACTTTGTTGTATGCCTTTTAGAGATCAAGTTTCATGATTGCAACCCATTTTCACCCATGCAAGTTCATGAGGGTGTGTACAGCCTCTTGAACTACCAAAATGTTGTCTGTAGCGCTTCTTCCAACAAGGAAAATGTTTTGGTATGGTCCTATCACCTTCTGCAGCATCGGTCTGAGACGTTGAACCAACGTTTTAGCAAGAATTTTATAGGAAGCGTTAAAAAGACTTATGGGATGAAATAACGGTAGTCTTTCCACTACATTAGTTTTGGGAATAAGAACAAGAAACACTTTTAAGACCCGGTTGTCCATTTCTCCTAGAGCAAACACCGAATTTACAAAATCCAGCAAGTTCTATTTAACCGTGTCCCAGTTTTTATTAAAGTTGTAATCCGTTAGGCCCTGAGGCTTTTAGTCCTTTTATAGAAAATATCGTTGTCCTGATTTCTTCTAATGAGGCATCTTTGGTTAAAATAGCCCTTTCTTCGTTGTTCATCATTGGTTTAAATTTCTCACAAGGTTCATCTAAAACTGATACCTCTTTTTGTGCAAAAAGACCCTTGTAGTAGTCAACAACGTGAGTGATCTCGGCTTGTTTGTCAGTAATCCAATTTTCGTTAATAAACAGTCTAGGAATTTTGTTCCGCTTTCGTTTGATTTTGGTCCTAAGATGGAAGAGTTTAGTGTTTATTTCCTCTTTTAGCGTCCATTCCAATCTTAACTTTTGAAGCCATAAAATCTCTTCTTGATTGAAAATAGTCTGATACTCGTTTAAACTTTTTTTGAGCTCTTGAAGGCGGTTGAAATGAAAGTAGCGTGGGTAGCGTGGGGATCATTGTATACCATTTAGGCGATTCCTAAGAATGTGTTTCTATCTGAAAATATACTCAAAAGTCGTTTCTTTCCGAACTTTAACTTCTTTTTCAGTTTCAACAATTGCTTCTACAATTAAATCCTTTTTTCTGTCCCATGATCCTTTGAAGATATTGATGAAATTTGGGTGCTTGAGGCAGATTGATTCAAATATGAACGATATATTATTTTTATCAATCACATGTGCCAAGCGGTTATCTACAGAACAGGGTGATGGTCGTAGTAATGCCTAGCCAAAATCGTAACGTAGGTTGGGGAATAAATCAAGAGTTTCAAAGTTAATGAGGGAACGATCAAGCCTTTCCTGAATAACGACCTTACCCTGCACTTTCCTGACCCAGATAAATCTATTTCCAGTCCCTCTAACATCCATAAGATTGCATTTATTCAATCTCTCATGAAACTGAATGATGCGAACTAGACAATCTGAATTGTTTCCTTCTCTTTCCTCGATCGATGCAATGTGTAACACCTCATACTCGGTCTAGAAGAAAGACCTGGATACATGAGTGTACATTAGGTTATGATCATGTCGGACAAACAAAATCTTAAATATGCATACTTTACGAAAGCATTTAAAATTTTCAAACATATACCATGCAACGAACAACGGCGAATAAACAATAGTAAGCTAATAATAATCAAACACAAAAACATTACAAGATATACGTCATTAACCAAATAGGGGTAAAATAGTCATTTCAAACAACCATGTAATTCAAAGACAAAACATCAAATTAAGATTTCCATTATTATTTGTTAATCATTAATTACTGACATGCAAATTTTTAAGTTAATCGAACACCAAACAGGGACCGAATTAAACATACATTTCTTGGGACTAAAACGTAAACAATTCAAAAGTCACATACTATCGACAATCATGCAATTGAAACTTCTAGTATGAAATTAGGTTTATTCATAGGTTATAAAGCAAGTCCCAACAAATTCCAAGTTAGGGTCTAATAATAATTAGCTTGCAAATTGCTTGACCATTTTGAACCCATACAAACATCATGTGGTCAAATTAAATCTTAAGGATACTTGGAACCTTTAATGAATGCAATTTAACCACTTTTCATCGGGTTTCGCAGTGAAGCAATCGATCCTTTTTGGAAGGAATCGATCTTTTTTCACGGGGGATCGATCCTATACAACATAGTGAGTTTGGGATCGATCATTCAAGTCAAGGGATTGATCCTTTTTTAAAAGGGAACGAGCCTTTCCCCTAATGGATTGATCCTTTTTCTGGAAAAGTGTAGAATTCTCAAGAATATGCATAAACAAGTTACCAAACTTCCACATGATCACACCTAGGGACTAGATACAAGCTTGGACACCTTCATACCACATCATACATGTCAGAATAAATTTGTAACATGCTTTATAACACAAGTCACATCATCATATAAAGATTTAGCATCAAAAGTAAAACATTGTATTCATTTTTAGCTCAAGTCACCTAGTTCAATTATGCATTTTTGGTCATCTCATGCTTCATATGAGTCTAATTGGTTTAGTACACTTATTGTCACTTGTTTAAGCACATCAAACAAATCCTTAAGACATCAATCAACATTTGGCTATTTTCATTATCCATTCTACCCATATTATACTTTCAATACTTCAAATGATCAAATCAAACCAATTAACAATCTCCAACACAAAACCAATAGTCCACATCTCAAGCCACACTTATTACAACATTATGATATCAAAATATCTAAGTCCCCATGGATTCCACATTATCGTTTTATGAAAACAACCACATACACTTTATTTATTTATACCTTGTTGATCACACCGAGTGCCCGCTCCTCGCCTTCAACACAGCTTTAATCCTATGAAAATATGTTAAACAATGAGTGTAAGCTGAAAAGCCTAGTGAACAACTAACATTCTAAGCAATGCACAATTCAAAGCTAAATTAAAGTCCTATGTGCATTCTCTCCTCACTTGTTTTTACCTCAAAATTCATACCATCATGTCATGCCTCTATGCAACATAAATGAAAACAAAATCCAGAATATGCATATTCCATTCATAATCATATATC